CACTGTGCGTTGGTTGCTCCACCGATGGCTGGCTCTCTGTCAATGCAGAAACAATGGGGACGTTGGCTTCTGTGACCCCAGAGACTACTGGTTCGACTTTAGCGTTTGACGCTTCATGTTCCGGAAGTGGCACTTCAACTGGTTTAGATTCATCAGCACTGTGCGTTGGTTGTTCCACCGGTGGCTGACTCTCTGCTAATGTGGAAGCAATGGGGACGTTGGCTCCTGTAACTTGAGTCATTACCGTTGCAGACTGGTTACCAGCTGGCTGAATTGGCTCTTCGACTTGAGTTTTTGCACTTTCCAGAACGTAGCTGATTTCGCCCTCAGTAACCCCGAAAACAAGTGGAAGTCCGTTTTCTGCTAAACCTGCTACAATAATTCTGTCTCCCACATCGTGCTGGAATTTTTTTTGCATTATCACATTTGAATCTTTAATGATTTGCCTTGTTATAAGTTTTTTTTCATTTCAGATTAATATTTTTTATACTCATCATATTTACTTTTGTTTTTACCAATCCGTTTACATTGTAAAGGCCCAAAATTGTTACTGTAGTATGAACGGCTTTTTGAGTGACTAGACTGTGACTATTCTTATAAAAGTTGCATAACTGACAGGTTTGGATTCTCCGTGGCGGTTTAATTTGCTCAAAGCTTCCTCCTCTTTCGTAATCTCTTTATCGTCAGCAAGCTTTTGATTTTCCTCGGCTTTGACAGGCTCGGCAACAGAGGGGGAGAAATTTTCTTTGGCAATCATAGCAGTTTCTCCTTTTTTATTGTTGATGGATTCTTTGGAAATTTCAGTTTCAGCTTTTGGTTTTTCGTCAGTAATTGTTTTAATCTTCGTCTCTTCTTTGTGGGGTGCAACTGTAATAGTGAATAATTTCTGGCTTTCAAAAGTGGTGAATTGTCCACAATATTTAATGGGCTACATGAATTATCAGTGTATTAAATAAAAATTGTGCAACATGTATAGCAAACAATTTAAAATAAAGGACGAACACATATATCACGACAAGTGACACAGAGACGACATCACAGTACTTTATGTAGTCTGACACAACTTTTTTTGATTTAGAGGACTGGAGAAGAGTAAATGGCACAATTTAGAGTATCATTTTCAAATTGTCAAGATAAGCGGCTGGCTGTAAGCGAAAGACTCTTATGTGTTAGTGATAAAGTTAGTTATTTTGTCAAACACTAATTGCTTTTCAATATGGTTTATAAGCAGTCAGTTTTTTTGTGAAGAAGGAAATGTTTACCTGTACAGCTTTAACCAGAGAAACAGTTTGATGCCAGGAACTGCAAGACATGATTGAAAGAAGGAAAAAAGATTCAGTTCTGTTATTGTGCTTAAAAATCCGCTTTTTCTTCTAATCAATGGCAGCAAAAAATTAAGCAAAAAGTAAACCCAAGGTATGGGTGAATTCTAGGTTTAATTACATTGTCTAGTGGAACAAAAGCACATTTGCTTTTTATAAAGTCTGTGTGCTCATTTATCTATATTTGAATCATTGTAAGTTTCCTATATTCAATTCTTATCCTCTTACAATTTCACTTTGAAAAGAAAGCAGATTTACCTAGCATTACACTTGAAATAAAATCTAATTTTCTGATACTAAATTTATTGTTGTTTCCCAGAACCTATCATAAAATAAAAAGCAAGTCGGTCGTGCCTACCAGCTTTTATTTATTACATATACAGAAAAATGTGTGCACTGTCAAAACTTTAGAACGACTCTCCTTTTCTAACGTATTTTTTGAAAACAAACAGTCATCTTTCAATAATGCTGTTTAACATTTATCCATTATCTCCCAGCTAAACTGCATTGTTTTTTCTCATGACCTTCTCTGTCAGTTCTTTCATTTTTTGCTGTAGGGCCGAATGACCAAGTAGATCGTCCATTATACGACCAATACGAGCAACTTTTCAAGAAAACAAGATTCATATCTCAGTGGTTTATTTGAAGAACAATCATTTTTTACCTTCGTGCAGTGTTAGATCGACTAGACAGAAGCGTTGCATAATTTCTTATTTTCAGCCGTCAAAGGAAATAAGAAAACAATTTTTTTAATCTAAATGATAAACGGCGAAGTGTAATGAAATTTGAACAAGAGACTTAGGTAAGGATTATTATCACAGCGTGACTGGACAAGTTCTAATCTCAAAAAGAAAATGTTGCGAATTCATCTTATTAAAAAAATTAGCATTATTTACACACATGCCAATTGACAGAATTGATGACCAAAAAAAGTAAGCCTGACTTCTGAACCAAAGAAAAAAAAATTTAATCACCTGTACTAGTGAATTTGTAATTAAATCTTCTGAATTTCCTCACAGGCTCATCTGTCTGCTCCTCTTCCTCTTCCTCTTAAAAAATCGGTTTGATGAAATTTTATTTGGCATTTTTTGAAGGACTGAATTAGGGTTACGAAACTGCTGCAAAAATTGTTGTAAATATGGTTACAAAGCTGCTTTTACAACAGTACGCTGTAAGCAGCTCCTAAATCCAATATGGTGGTGTATCAAGGTATCTTCCCTTTCCGGAATACAAACAGTTTAGGAAAAAACATATTGGGATTAGGAAAGCGTATTTTTAGGAAATTTTGATGTCTTGATGTTGACAAAAACCGGTAAAGATGTTGAAGATTTTTTGAATATCTTTTTTGCTTAAATACACAACCACAACTGCGTTGGCTAGTGGTACATTTACTGAGAAGCTATAAAAAAGAAAAAAGAAAAAAAAAAATGAAAATATTGCGAGTTTCCTTAGTGCTGCTTAAGAAAGTACAGCAGCTGTTCTTTTACAGCTTAAAAAAATTTTCGCTAATACTGTCAATTTTTTGAACGCAAAACCACATCCTCAAAAAACAGCCAATTTTTTCCTCTTCTGCCCCAATATATATATATATATATATATATATATATATATATA